TAGCGGACTCCCCTACTTGGCTCGAGGCCATAGATCAACATACGCTCAATAACTCATAACGATTATACTTTATTGATGACATGATACCATAATGAGATTAAACTCAAATCTTTTATAAGCTTGTGAAAACACAAATCATCTAGAGTTTTAACTCTTCTGCAAATCTCGCATTCCACTCTCGCAACAGTTACACCCAGTCACTAAGCGACCCAATTTAAGTTGCAACACATATCCTTCACTCGCAAATCTAACAGACACATAAGGATCGTACAATCTCAGAATACTTCGCATGAGATAACCCACCTTCTTCGCCTTAAACTAACATTTATGTATACCTTCCACCGTCATACACATTACACAGTCACTTAATTTTCCTGAGTCTGAACACATACCGCAACATGAAATTTACTTCACTCCAACTAGGAGAAATGAAAAGACTCTTTGCACACCCATAACTCGGGGCTATACCTCAAGTCAAGATGGATACATCTCGTAATACTAACATACTCATCACATAGTTGTCAGCCATCACTTCTACTAATAGGGACACTACCGAACATATAAGTTCAAAAATCCTTGCTCACACTATCAGCACCTTGGTGCTCAAGCCATAGGCAAATATTCGGCCTCAAGTCCTCTAGACTGGCCCAACATCAAACTCACAGAGATCACATCTCGCCCCTCGATCAGGGAATCACAAGCCATCAAGGCATATCTGATACTGAGCGCTCATGCGCACATACGAACGCGTGGAAGGAATTTCAAGAGTTACTTTTCAAGCTGAATCAAGGACGCACAATAAGAATTCAAGAATGTGAAGTTTTCCTAAAGGTTCTGCAGCCTCTCGAAGATAAATACAGACGTCTTCGTACCGATCCGCGAGACTCTACTAAACCGGCTCATGACTTGCGAGACCAAGTAACCTAGGTTCTGATACCAACTTGTCACGGCCCCAACCCCGGCCGTGATGGCGCCCAACACAATGCTAGGCAAGCCTGACCAATTAACATCTCACAATCTCTTTCTTTATAATTCAATTCCAATTTTTTGGGATTTAATACCAATTTAATATAAATAGAAGTATGAATTTAACAGATGAAATGTGCGGAAACCATAATCACGAAAAAATCTCTGTAAAACAACTCACTGATCCGGTGTCACAAGTCTGAGCCTCTAATACAAGGTTTCAATAATCTAATACAGAAATATGTCTAAAATGCGGAATAATAAGTGGAGATAGAAGGAGAAATCGGGTCTGCGAACGTCATGCAGCTACCTCGATAACTCCGATGAAAACAGAACAGCAGGAAAGCTCGCTCTATGCCTCAGGAATACCTATACCTGCACACATGGTGCAGGGAGTAATGTGAGTACTTTGACCCAGTGAGTAATAACAATAAATAATGGCTGACAGTAAGAAATCACGTAAAGGCACTAAGCAGTTCTATATCAAAATAGTAAAATCGTTTGAGCAGCAGTTAATGAGGAAATCATGTGAAATTCTTTAAACCAGGTAAAATGGATATAATCAGTATAAATCAGCTCCTCAAGCATTTCAGTTCATTTATTCGTTCTTATCCTTATTTCTCAATTCATATATTTCTCACGATAACCGAATCAATAAATATATATACCGCTGCGGCGTGCAGCCCGATCCGTATATCGCTGTGGCGTACAGCCCGATCCATAATAATAATAGTCGACTGCACTCACTGGGGGTGTGCAAACTCCGGAGGGGCTCCTTCAGCCCAAGCGCTATATAATTGTTGCGGCGTGCAGCCCGATCCATATAAATAATTATTGCAGCGTGCAGCCCGATCCATAATAGGTATAATATATATATCTGCTGCGGCACGCAGCCCGATTCATATCATATAAAATATATATCTGCTGCGGCGCGCAGCCCGATCCATATCATATAAAATATCCTCACTATTGGGTCCTCGACCCCTCTCAGTCATTTAAAAATCACAGCCTCTCGGGCATAATGTACGGTCGGGATCTCAGCCCTCATATCTCTTTCTATTTATGATTAACATTTTGAAAATCTGGTTCATATCATTCTTAAACAATTGGAAACATGACTGAGGATATAAATTCTTTAACAAAGTAAGTGAGGAAAACCAGTCAAAAATCCCCCAAGGGTTCTACAGGTCGGCACAAGGCCCCAAGCATGGCAACAAGCCCAATTTGCAATAATAAAGTATATGTCTCAATCAAAAATGTAGTAAAATATCATTCGGGATGGACCAAGTCACAATACCCATAGCATCACGCTCGTCACACAGCGTGTATCTCAACTTAGTATAGCACTATGTTGTGCAATTCCGGGGTTTCAAACCCTCAGGACATCATTTAAAATCATTACTCACCTCAAACTGGCCAAAACTCTAGCTCGCTATGCCCTTGCCTCTCAAATTGGCCTCTACGCGCGTCGAATCTATCCAAAATCAGAACGAATAGGTCACAATATGCTAAGGGAACATAGCCCAAGCGAAAATATTCGAAAAATATCAAAACTCCCGAAATTAGCAAAACCCGAACCCCAGGACCACGTCTCAGAATCTGGTAAAATTTACATTTTCAAAATCCTCATACCCTCACGAGTCTAACCATACCAAAATTATCCAATTCTGATACCATTTGGTCCTTCAAATCATCATTTTACATTTTTGAAAGGTTCCACAATTTTCTTCCCAAATTCCATCCCAAATCACGAATTAAATGATGAATTCAGTGATAGATTCATGTATTCTAGCCAAATCTGAGTTAAAATCACTTACCCCGATGAATTTCTTGAAAAACCTTCGAAAAATCGCCAAAATCCGAGCTCTCTAGGTCAAAATATTAAATAAAACCCAAAACCTCGTATTTATAGGTACCCCCTCAGATTTCAGCTAACCGCGGGCCGCACCAAATCGACCGCGGTCCGTGCAAGCCAGTGCGGTCCGCGTAAACACAACCGCGGCCGCATAGCCTTCCTTTGCAGTGACGGGCTTTAGTATTTTGGCCATAACTTTTGCTAGAGATTTCCAAATTGCAATATCTATACCTTTCTGGAAACTAGACACGAAGAGCTACAACTTTCGTTTTTGAACCATCTCAACATTCCTTGTAGATCAACAGATATGAGCTTCCTAAGTTGGACCAACGACCTGCGGATCTTCATGACCGCGGCCCGCGGACCATTTTCCGCGCCCAGCACTAAATTCACCACGCCCAGCATTAAAAATTCTGCCTCCATCCATTTTCTAAGTTCAAGAATGTCCGAACTCGCTCAAAACTCACCCAAAAACACACCCGAGGCCCTCAAACCTCAACCCAAACTTACCAACACGTCCCACAACATCATTAAGACCTTATCGAGCTTTCGAATCACTCAAAACAACATCAAAACACCAAATCAACTTCGGATTCAAGCTTAAGAACTTAGAAATTTCAAATTCCATAAACAACACCGAAACATATCAAATGAGGTCCGATTGATCCCAAATTTTGCACACAAGTCATAAATGACATAACGAAGTTACTGTAACTCTCGGAATTTCATTCCGACCTTTATATCAAAATCTCACCTATCAACCGGAAATTGGCGAAATCTCAATTTCGCCAATCCAAGCCTAAACCTTCCACGGACTTCCAAAATGCATTCAGATCAAGCTCCTAAGTCCCAAATCATCTAATGGAGCTAACCAAATCATAAAAATTTCCATCTGAGATCAAATACACATAAGTCAAATTTTGGTCAAACCTTTCAAATTTAAGGCTTCAAACCGAGAACTGTTCTTCCAAATTCATTCTGATTACTCTGAAAACCAAAACCAACGATTTACATAAGGCATAATGTATACACGGGGCAAGTCATGCCCGAAGACTGGCGATCAAAGTGCAAAAGTTCAAAACGACCGGTCGGGTCGTTATAGAGATCCCACTGTTGGGGTCCGGAAAGGGTAGTGTGTACGCAGACCTTACCCCTACCTCGAGGGATAGAGAGACTGTTTTCAAAAGACCCTCAGCTCAAGAAGACGAAAAGATACAATATAACAGTACCTTCAATAAAACCCATTGAAAAAATAATGGTATCACCAGAACCAAGAAATAGCTAGAAGTGGAAATAAAATGAATGTCAAAATATGAAATCTAATGCAAACCAAAACTAGTATACCTTCCATCAATAACTTACACCAACAGTTTGAAGATAATAAAGTTGGAAAAATATCTTCTATCTCAACAGAACTGATATGTACAGTGGATGCATCAGTTAACTTACTTCAATAGTTTTGACATATGATGCTTAATAATTTGGCTTGATAGATGATGAATATTAATATTGCGCATAGAAGATACGAATTAATTTGTTTAATAAGAAAAAAAAGTATTATGCCACGAAAACAAGAATCCAAGTTTATTACGGCAGAACACATTAGATACATGCATGTGTGTGTGTGTATATATATATATATATATATATAATCTTGAAAGGTTAGTCGCAAGCACATAAATGGAATAAGGTGGATAGAAAATTGTAGTTTTCGATTATAAGAACAATTTGTTAGTAAAAAACAAAGTAATAAGGTTTCAGCCTTCAATATTTAAGAACTTCATATGAAATTCACTTCTAATTCTTCTCTATATGAGACAACTTGGGAATACAACCAAGAATGTTTCAACTCAAAATAAGGTAAACATTTAATTAACATGAATAAGTACGTGTAGCAAATTTAGTTCGTAAACAATTCACATCTAACGAATAATATAATGAACTGTTAAAATAACTTAAAAACATATTGGATAGACAATGTTCTCTCATACATAAATTAATTCATTTTACTGCAAATGATTGAACATCTTTTACCAGATGTATAATATTATTATATCAAGAACAATACAAGAACAAGTTCTCAATACAAAGACATAATAAAGAACTAGAAATGTGATTCAAAAAAATCAGCTACTATATTTTCTATAATCTCAATTATCAACAGAAAGGGGAAACTTACTTTATTAGAGTATGGGACAAGACAACATAATGTAAATGCATAAGAAACATCTCTATATTGTGAATTCTCCTGCACTTATTATAAAAACAATATTAGTAATTAAATTATACTCACTACAAACAGTTTAAATGCATATCAATTTGATTTTATATAAAACATGTCTGCCTTCAACAGAACTTGAGAAGCATACCCGTATCGCAATTCTAATTACCAAATGAAATCTCCATTTTTTCACAAGACCCAATTCACCAGAATGCACCTTAAATTTTACTTTCTTTTTCTCAATTCCGCATAAAAATTATGGATCAAACTTAGGTTAAGTCTACATTGAACCTTTCCAATAGAGGTTCTAGAGAACAAAACTGATATTTAATGAGGCCTACCATCAAAGGAAGAAGAAACAGATAAGGTCGAAAGTACAGAGAAACGAACAAAAGAGCCGTGACCAATAGAGAAACCCTAGTTTCGATCAAATCTGTATTTAATCTAATCGGCATAAGGACCTAAAGAAGGCACACCTTCTTCTGTGCTCACTACGAACACAAAATTAATATTTATACACTTTTGCTTTGCATTTCACGAGCAAAGGGTCATCAAAATCAAAATCAAAAGAAAAAAAATCGAGAGATTACCTGGTGATGGTGGCCGGTGATGGTGAGAGAGATGAGTTAGGCACTGACAACGATGATAGAGAGAGAGAGAGAGAGAAGTTTGCTCAATATTACGGTTTGCTATAGCAGAGAAGATCTATTTGCAACTTGGAGGGAGGGAATATTTTACAGCAAAAAGTTGGAGGGAGAATAAAACCAATAGAAATAGACTTAATTTTTTAACCTTTACTGGCCATTACTTTGAATGGCTAGTAAAAGAACACGATTTCGTGGCAAATACACAAATGCCACTAATATTTGTACTGAGAGAATTAAATTAGGGGCAAGTAGCTAATTGCCACTAAATAATTATCGGTAAAAGCCTTTTTTGTGGTAGTGTCGTATGATTTATTGCTTGAATGTCACTTGTTTTAATTGAAGAAAATGCCTTGATTTCTTAATTAGATGAAAGGATTTTCATTATTATTCTTGCTTGATCTTGTTTCTATCTACATACATTGTGAATTAAAATATTGAGCTTCATATTATTATATTTGCTGGCCCTAGTAAGTGTCAGAGTCGACCCTCCGTCACTACTTCTTCGAGGTTAGACGAGATACTTAGTGGGTACATATTTTTATGTACCCACGCTATACTTCTGTGCTTGAATGTACAGGCTTTAAGGCATGTGCATCTGGCCATCAGCTCGGTTCGTAGATTTGGACTCCTCAACTCGAGACTTCCCAGTGAGCTGCCCTTCTGAGTCGTTCTGCAGCAGCTGGAGTCTCTCTTGTTTTTACGTTTTTGTGTATTTCTTTTCCATACAATAGGATAGTATAGTTTTGTATATTCTACTAGATTGCCCACATACTTGTGACACCAGGTATTGGCATACACATTGGTAGACTTATGATTTTTGGCTTATTTTCATGATTTCAATTCATATTTATTACTTCCATTTAGTTATGCTTAAATTTTAAACTCTAAATTTCTTAATAAATAATAAAAAGTTATCACGTACTAATTATTCAAATGAGAATTTACTAGTTGATTAGTGTTGGCTTGCCTAACAACGGTGTTGGGTGCCATCACGACCTTATACGGAATTTGGTTCGTGATAACATAGCATCAGAGTACTAGGTTCACGTAGATCTCACAAGTTATGGGCAAACCTGGTAGAGTTTTGCGGATCGATACGGAGATGTTAGTACTTATCTTCGAGAGGCTATAGGGTGTTAGGAAACTACTCTTTATTCATCTTCTATCGTACAGTTAATGGTATACAAAATTTCCTTCTTCTTTTCTCCCATAGATGGTGAAGACGCGCACGGGGAACGTTCCAGACCCAGGATGAGTTGCTCCCCCCATTTCTAGAGGCCGAGGTAGAGACCGGAGGAGGGCACCGGCCTGATGTAGGGGATGAGGGCATCCTATAGCTACCCTAGTTGAACCACAGGCGGATCTAGCGGGGGATCCCATTATTGAGGAGCAGAGCAAGATGCCCGCAGCGGAGCCTGCCCCGACAGATTTCATGACAGCACCGGGCTTCCAGGAGGTCATGGGTCATATGCTGCGGTTCATGGACTCTATAACTCAGGCTAGTTTATTTCCAGCAGACCCACCCACATCTTAGTCAGGAGGGGGAGCACAGACCCCTACCCGTGGGTGGTGCTCAGCCAATTGCAGCAGTGGTACCTGAGCCTAGACCAGCTACGGATGGCGATCTGTAGAAGTTATTGTATAGATGGACTAGGCTACACCCTCCTATCTTCGGAGGTGAGCATCATGAGGATGTCCAGGATTTCATTGACATGTGTAGGGACAGACTGCACAATAAGGATATTGGAGTCCCATGGAGTAGATTTCACCGCCTTCCAGTTAGAGGGTAGGGCCCGTTGATGGTGGCAATCTTACCTTCTTAGCAGACCAGCAGGTTTTCCTTCCATGACTTGGGATCAGTTTACACAGCTTCTATTGGACAAGTATATTCCACCATCTTAGAGGGATGAGTTGCGAGGTTAGTTCGAGCAGCTTGAGCAGGGTCAGATGTCAGTAACCGACTATGAGGCGAGATTTTCTGAGTTGTCTCGGCATGCACTCATGATACTTCCTACTGACACAGAGAGAGTGTGGAGGTTTGTTGTGGGTTTACACCCCGGTTTTCGGTATAGCACAGCTTGAGAGGTTGAGGTGGGGACTGAGTATCAGCTAGTGATGGATATTGCTCGGAGGATTAAGGGTTACTGCCAGAGGGTTTAGAGAGGAGATGCAGCAGGACAAGAGGACCCGATTCTCTAGAGAGTTTAGAGGTGCCCCAGTTAGGGGTAGAGTTCAGTTTGGGAGAGGTCAGCCTAGCAGGCCCCCATATTTAGCACCACCACCACCTTCTCGAGGTGCTCCAGTGAGGCCTCATTTCAGTGCGATGACGGAGAGTTCTTGCCACCCGTCTGCTATTCAGTGCTCCTCCAGCGGGTATTCTGGTCATCAAGGTTATTCCAATGCCTACTTTAGTGCTATGCCAGAGAGTTCATACCTCCCACCAGCCATTCAGGGTTCTTCTAGTGGGTATTCGGGCCATCAGGGTCAGACTTTAGGACAGTAGTATACGGCACCGCAGGGTTGTTACGAGTGTGGGCATTCAGGTCACATGAAGAGATTTTATCCCAAACTTCGGGGCAAGGCAGTACAGTAGGGTCATCAGCCTATGATTACAGCACCGGTCGTCCGGCCACTTAGAGGTGGGTGACAAGTTGGTAGGGGTCGTCCTAAAGGTGGAGGCCAAGTATGGGGAGTTCAACCAGCTATTGCTCAGCCAGGCAGAGCCCAGCCAGCCAGCACTCCAGCTAGATTCTATGCTTTTTCGGCCACAGCAGATGCAGTGGCCTCAAATACCGTGATCACATGTATTATTTCTGTATGCGATAGGTATGCTTTGGTATTATTTGATCCAGGGTCTATATATTCATATATGTCATCTCTGTTTGCTCATTTCCCCTAATATTCCTTGTGAGTCCTTGGGTACCCCTATTTATGTGTCCACTCATGTGGGCAACTCTGTGGTTATGGATAGAATCTACCAGTCCTGTGTGGTTACATTCTGTAGTCGCGATACTAGAGCGGACCTTCTAGTACTTGATATGATAAACTTTGATATCATCTTGGGCATGAATTGATTATCTCCATATCATGCCATCCTTGATTGTCATGCCAAGACTGTTACTTTAGCGATGCCAGAGTTGTCGAGGTTGGAGTGGAAGGGTTCCTCCGTTAGTACTTCTAGTCAGGTTATCTCTTTTCTGAAGGCTCGATATCTGGTCGAGAAGGGTTGTTTGGTGTATCTAGTATATGTTCGACACACCATTGTAGAGTCTCCAGTAGTTTGGGAGTTCGCCGATGTGTTTCCTTCTGATCTTCCAGGCATGCCGCCAGATCGTGATATTGATTTCTGCATTGATTTGGTTCCAGATACCCAACCTATATCTATTACATTGTACTGTATGGATCCGAAAGAGTTGAAGGAGTTGAAAGAGAAACTTGAAGAGTTGTTAGCAAAAGGGTTTGTCAAGCTGAGTGTGTCACCTTGGGGGTGCACCAGTGTTATTTATGAAGAAGAATGATGGAATTATATAGATGTGTATTGATTACCGCCAATTAAACAAAGTTACCATCAAGAAAAAGTACCCATTGTCGCGTATTAATAATTTGTTAGACCATTTTCAGGGTGCTAGGTTGTTTTCTAAGATCAACTTAAGATCGGGGTACCATCAACTGAAGATTCGAGACTCAGATGTTCCGAAGACTGCCTTCTGTACTAGATATGCCATTATGAGTTTCTAGTGATGTCCTTCGGCTTGACTAATGCCCCAGCGACATTTATGGATTTGATGAACCGGGTGTTCAGGACTTATATTGATTCTTTCGTTATCGTCTTTATTGATGACATCTTGATTTACTCACGTAGCATGGGGGAGAATGAGTAACATTTGAGAGTGGTGCTTTAGATTGAGAGAGTAGAAGTTATATGTTAAGTTCTCCAAGTGTGAGTTTTAGCTAGAGTCTGTTGCATTCTTGGGGCATGTTGTATCAGGGAAGGGTATTAAGGTGGATCCCAAGAAGATTGAGGCAGTTCAGAGTTGGCCACATCCCACTTCGATGACTGAGATCAGGAGTTTCCTGAGGTTATCATGTTATTATCGCCGGTTTGTGCAGGACTTTTCATCTGTTGCAGCACCTTTGACTAGATTGACTCTGAAGGGTGCTCTTTTCCATTAGTCCGACGATTGAGAGGCGAGCTTTCAGAATCTTAAGATAGCTTTGACTACAGCACCAGTCCTAGTGTTGCCTTCCGGTTTGGGGATATATACTGTGTATTGTGACGCTTCACGTGTTAATTTGGGTTGTGTATTAATACAGGAGGGGCAAATTGTTGCGTATGCTTCATGTCAATTGAAGATTCATGAGAAGAATTACCATGTGCACGATCTAGAGTTAGCCACGATTGTTCATGCTCTTAAGATATGGAGGCATTATCTGTATGGGGTGTCATGTGAGGTTTATACTGATCATCGTAGCTTATAACATTTGTTCAAGCAGAGGGATCTTAATTTGAGGCAGCGTAGATAGATTGAGTTACTAAAGTATTATGACATCACCATTCTTTATCATCCGGGTAAGGCAAATGTGGTCGCGTATGCCTTAAGCAGAAAGCTAGAGAGTATGGGTAGCTTGACATTCATTTCAGCGGGCCACTTGCTTTGGACATCCAGTCCTTGGCTAACAGACTTGTGAGGTTGGATATTTCAGAGCCCAGCTGGGTTCTTGCATGTGTTGTTGCGCAGTCTTCATTATTGGGATAGATCAAGGCCCGACAGTTTGATGATCCGTATTTTTCATCCCTTAGAGAGACGGTACTACAGGGTAGTGCTAAGGAGGTTTCTATTGGCGAGGATGGTGTTCTACGACTCCAGGGTCGCCTATGTGTTCCTAATGTCGATGGCTTGAGGGAGAAGATTCTTGAGGAGGCACACAGTTCATGATATTCTATTCATCCAGGTGCTATGAAGATGTATCGTGACCTAAGTCAACATTATTGGTGGCGGCGAATGAAGAACGACATAGTGGAGTATGTAGCTAGGTGCTTAAATTGCCAACAAGTCAAATATGAGCACCATAGGCCAAGGGGCCTACTTCAGCAGATGACTATACCTGAGTGGAAATGGGAGCCCATTATTATGGACTTCATAGTTGGGTTGCCGCAGACTTTGTGAAAG